TCTGGTTGACTGTGTTGCCTCAACAAACACCTATTCTTATTACTCATTTAGCAGTCGAATTTACATTGAATGACATGTAAACAAACACAAGTTATATTCAGAGCTGTGATGATGACCCACTGTCTGATGATTCTAATAATAAATCATCAGCAGAAATGAAAGTGTCCAGCCGGTACTATACACCAGATCTGGGAGAAAAAAAAACAAGTTACTGGAACAGAAAGTTTTTTGGCGATTAGCAATTCACAACTGGGAAAAATAATATTTAATGTACGAGTACTGCTGGATTTATACACACAGATTTATTGTAGTGTAATATTACAATATGCCTTTACAATAGCAATAGCCACTGTTTGTTTGCATGTATTTCAGCAGATTGTAATATACAAATGCAACTTTTACACCACATTACTTAATATCATGATTATTCAAATGTGATCTTGAAAATTTAATCATCTTAAGCCATGATTATGAATATATAATTGATCTAGCATTGGTGTGGCTAGAACCTTTCTACTATAAAGGTACAACCTGTTACCTATGGTTCTCCTTTTTCATTCCACTGCAATGTTTGGCTACAAGGCAGACCTTTCTGTCCCACCCACCCTTCATTTCACAGTATATTTGGCTTGCTCTGTTTTTTTTTATCATTTTAGTGCAGGTTTTATAGTATTATTGAAGAATTTTCTTCACAGAGATGTATTTACCCCAAGCTAGAGGAAACTTTTGTTCGTATGGTGGATGTGCTGGCATGCAGCCACAAGCCTACTTATTTAACAAGTCATTGTTAATGACATAGTCCCCGTTGGAATTAGGGGAAATGTTATTCATGCAAAAAATAAAGTTGCGGACCAAAAGTGTAGTAGTCATAAATTCATAAATAAATGTCTGGTCTAGTATCAACAGAAATAAAGTAGTATGGTCAAAAAGTAAGATCACATGCAGTCAACCATCTTTGATCCGATTGTGAAACTAATTGTCATGGACATGTATCATAACATGTATAATTTGATGAGAAATAAACATGTCAACAATACATTTTGAAACAACAAGATGGCTGCCAGTTGATCATTTTAGATTTGAACACGAAACAAATCATCAAGGACATGTATCTCAACATAAACAATGTTTGTACCAAATTTCAACAAAAAACGACAAATCCTGTCGAAGAAACCACAATTTTCAAAAAACAAGATGTATGCCCGTCGGCTATCCTTTGTCTGATATATTCCTATATTTATGATGTATGTGCCAAACATGAATGAAAATGTGTATGGTAAAAAAGTCAAATTTTCGTTGACAACCAAATGGCAGCCAGTCAGACATATTGGATTGAATCAGTAAACCACTGCATGTGCATATGTCTCAGTAAAAGTACTAGGCGGCACATGCAAAGAATAAACAGATTTGGTCAACAGGGTGCTGAAATATTTGTTCGAACGGGGACTAATAAACTGGCAGTCCCTGATTGCCCAAACTTATATCTTGGTATCGTGTGCATTTTTATAGGTTTATTAAGTTTTGAATCATATATCACACTGATTCAAGAGAGAAATACACTGAAGATGATTTGGTGAATAAGATTCCTTTTCTCATTTAATAACATATTTATACTGGGGATGGGCAAGTCTTCCAACAAGCTTTGGATAAAAAGCTTCTCGATACTTTTGCATTCATTACTACAATTCGTTAGACCTTGGCTGAATCTCGGTGCTGTTATAAACAAGTCATTGTCAATGACACGTCCCCGTTCCGTTCATATTTGAGTGACATATACATTCAAAGCAGATCATGACCGAAATGCACCTGCATATGTACAACACATTGTGCTAAATCTGAACAAAATCCATC